GGGGAGGGCGCGGTGGCTGTCACCGGGCGGGCAGGGTCACACCGGGTCCGTGGCACAGCGTCGCGGTCACCGCATCGTTCCCTCATGCTCCAACACCGTGACTCCCAACAGCACCCCTGTGCCCCGGAATCAGCCCCCGTACCGGCTTAGATTCTGCTGCGCGGTGGGATTTGTAATAAATCTACATACTTCCACATTTTAATAATAATTTTCATATTTTAATAATAATTTTATTATTGGTTCAGCCCTGGAAGGAGAAGGCGAAAAAGGGGGAGACCTCAGAGCCCCTTCCAGTGCCTAAAGGGGCTCCAGGAGAGCTGGGGAGGGACTCTGGATCAGGGAGGGGAGCGATGGGACGAGGGGGGATGGTTTTACACTGAAAGAGGGGAGATTGAGATATTAGGAAGAAATGTTTCCCTGTGCGTGTGGTGATCCCCCGGCGCAGGGTGCCCCGAGAAGCTGTGGCTGCCCCATCCCTGGAGGTGGTCAAGGCCAGGTTGGACGGGGCTCGGAGCAACCTGGGCTGGGGGAGGTGTCCCTGCCCAGGGCAGGGGGTGGGACTGGGTGGGCTTCAAGGTCCCTTCCCACCCAAACCATTCTGTGAGTCTATTCTATGACTCTATGATGATCAGTACTGATTTCATTACCACCACCACTTTTCCCTGTACTAGTCAGCAGATACAAAGAACATTCATTATGCAAAATCCAGGGAAGGTTTGGGTTCTTTAGACTTTAACTTCCCTAGAAACCCCAAATTAATCATTTTGTTTAGAAAAGGAGCTGCTTTTGCCATGGAAAAATAAAACTTATTCCACAGTCCATTAACATGGCAGCTTATGCAATAGCAAGTCACTTTTGCTTTGCACTTCAATCTGTAGAAAGACTCCTCAGTTTTATTAGAAACATTTTTTTCTAATATGTTGGGTTATCTGAGAAGACTCGTTTGACAATACAAATACAGTCAGCTTTTACCTAATTATAGGAGTAATTTGAGTTCATTTAATGCCTTGCCTGAGCTTAATTTGTCTCCTTTGGAATTACTGCCATTTTTCTGATCAATTCAGATGTGCCCTGTCCTTCGTGCAAGTCAATACTCATGAAGATCAAGCTGATCAGGAAAGAAAGAGGGGCATTCAGAGCAACTGCCTGCCTGCATAGCCAGCCCCAAAATACACTGTGTGAATTAATGAGCCATAAGGAGGAAGGCGTATTAACAAACCACCACATCAAGGAATTCTTTTCTTTCTCCTCTTAGCTGGATATATTGGATTAAAAGCCACTATGACTCACAGATGCGAAAGTTTTGCATGCCTACATCCCGCTTGTAGGTCAGTAAGATGACAATAATTGAGACAGCAAGATGTTTCAGTGAAAAGGATCTAATTTGTTTTGCTGGCAACACAGGGCAGTTGACGCTGTATGCTTTATACATCCCCTATTACCGACAGCAAGACTGCTTCTAGTTTGAACTTGTGAACCCGTTTGTTAGGACTGTTGAGGCAGGGAAACCAACAACAACAACAACAACTACTACACAAGCGATGCCAAACTTTTATTTCAAACTTTTATTTGCAATACTGCATTAGTTACTGATTGATACGGGGAAAATCTCCCAGCAGCTTCTTCTCTTAATAGTAACATGGTAATACTGCAACTTTACAGTAATCAGAACCCTGTCTTTAAAATACTTTTGTGTAACAAAAACTGTGTAGCAATTAAAAGAAAGGCAAAGTTTTGATATTGTTGACTCATTTCTGAACTATAGTCTGCCCTCATGATTTCAAATTCTATTACAGCAAAAATTTCCAGCTATGTGGACCCATAGTGCTCTGTCATCAACATGTAAAATACACCATTAAACTTTATGTGGTTTTGAGTCCCATGACCACAAATTAAAATTATAGGAATGAGAAACAACAAGCGGAAGAGTGAAATAGGTACAGTTGGCCCAGAGTCACACAAAGAGTGCAAAGTCAAAATAGGCACTGCAGAAGGGAAAGTCTTCATTTGATAAAATGCCTTCATTTTCACAACAGATCATTCCTGACGAAGACACCGGTGAAGTGTCATAATAAAGACGAAGCTTTTCTGATTCCTATTTTGAAGATTCAAGTTTTTATCGGTCTGCGTGAACAAGACTTATCTTTGTTTAAAATACTTCTTAGAAACTGCTTCACTCAAGTTGTCTTTTCCCTTTCACTTGTTTTAAAAACAAGAATTATTTCAGCTAGCAGTAGCTGGCCACAATCAATTTCACAGGCGACGGTTCTTCACACGCTGCCTGTCCCAGCAAAGAGCATGTTTATATGGGGCTTTTGAATCAGTTTGTTTTACGGGACTAAATCAAGGTGAGTTTATTTTGGTTTGCTTTTTTAAGCACCTTGTGTGCCACAGCACAAGCTCTGAAAAAAACACACATCTGCACAGTGAAATCGTTTTCCTGTCTGGTTGGGTTTTCATACCGGTCTCGAGCAACGACTGTTTCTGTTGTGCAGACTTGGGTTTTTGACACTTGTCTGCTGTGTCTATTAAGATGTTAACACGCAGTGTGGAAAAAAAAACCAAACCCAAGGCATACACCGGTACCGGAAACCACTGGGCAGAACAGAAATTATGTATAATAGAAGAAAAACCTCCAAAGATTTTCCTTTGGCTTCTTTCTTTCTGGGAGGCACTTAAGAAAAGAGGTCCAGGTTAAGAGGTCCAGACACCAAAGAGGCACTGGTAGGTGCAAACCGACATGCAAAAAACATAAAGATGTTTCCCCCCAAGATGCGTGGCCCAGCAGCGAGGCCGTCAAAACAGGAATTAGACATTTTCCTTTCAGTGCCGAGCTCTTACTGAATTGAGTAGTTATTTGGTCCCGGGCAGAGATTTCCACCTCGCACCTCTGTTTCTCCATCTGTAAGGACAGCTCTAACGCTTCACCTCTGCTGAAATGCTTCGAGGTGCATATACAGAAATCAATAAATAACACGTGAATTGTAATAGTTCCGTGACAGATCCTTTAAAAAATTAGACCCTTCTCGCCATGTTCCATAAAGAAATATTTATAGGATTAAAAAAAAAAATACCTTTTTCTTTTTTTTTTTTTTTTTAACACAATGTTTAGGAAGTAAAATTCAACAAGACAGTTCAGTTTTGTTGCTAACCAGTTCTACATGTTTCACACGTTTCTACAGTGAATCCAACAGCGGCAGAAAAGGGTATATTTAAACACCTATAAAACCAAATTTGGCAATATTTGCACAACAGAACCCTAGCCCAAGATTTTTAGTTTTTAATTAAAACGGTGGAACACAACACTAGTTCTAAATTCCGTAGCCCTTACTGTTTACTTATCAATCCTTTCCAACTCCAGAGGATGAAAACTCAGATTTTTTTGTGCTTAGTGAAGGCAATCAGTTCCTGTTCTGACCACTTTCTCCCTCCACAGATTATCTAAAGTAAGAAAAGACAGTCAG